ATGCAGAAACTGATTAATTTTCATGCTTGGCTATAATATAAACGCATACATGCAGAAACTGATTAATTTTCATGCTTGGCTATAATATAAACGCATACATGCAGAATAAAAGTGTTCAAATAGGAAAAATATTTCCATTAGTCTTCGTCTATGTTTGTATTTGTTATTTTGTGATGTGATTGAATTGTTGTTTTGCAGAGTTGACTGAAAAACAGCTTTAATACATCAGCATATGTTTGACCTTGAGAATATGTTGCCATTTATCAAATGATGTAGAAAAAACGGCAAAAAAAAATGTTTACTTGAATTTCGCATTGCCGGCACCTTAAGTAACTAAAGGTTATACTGGTAATCAAAAGCCTCTTCTCCACGTTACTTGTGTCCGCGAGCTCACCAGATAGCTTCTAAACATCTATAGAAGAGCAGGATCGTATGTCAGCAAATTAAATGTCTCTTACCTTTCATCTATAGGCACAGGTTAAAATCGTCCCACTGAATGAGCTAATGCCTCGAATAGTGGCTTTCGAAGCGCGGATCATTTTTCATTTTAACAAAATAAATATAATAATGTCTTAAGATATTTTTACGTATTTTGTCTCCTGTATGCTGTAGGATCTATAAAAATGTGAACTCGTCTCTCTCACTCTCCCTTCATTTCTGCATTCATACTCGTAGAATTTTCTCAATTCTCAAATTTTTATTTATGAATACATACAATGTCTGAACGTTGAGATCTTCACGAGTTGAGATATTTCTGATCTTTTTAGCAGATATCATCGTGAAAAAAATGTGAAAGAAGACAATATTCAAGTGTCGAATGGAGAAGTCACATTCTTACGATATGCTGGAAATTGATGTCTTGAATAAACCATTCATCTTGATGAATCAAATGCACATTGAAAAATGGGTTGTAATTTATCTTGTTTGAATACACAAAAATACAACAATGAAAAGAGAAAAAACACATGGATTTCTTGTATAAATTGAAAATATGGCTAACAAAAATAGAACTCTATCTAAAGTTAATACTCTTGATTTTATATAAAAATCTGTCAACAAATGATGAGAAGTGAATAAACCAAAGATAAACTTGAATATATTGTTATTCAACTTTTTCGCAAGTTAATATGCACCAGATGGTCCCCGTGGATCAACTTTTTTCTCATCCAATTCATCGAACCACGGATTAATACTACCCAAGAGAATTTTGACAATATACTGTCAAAACAAGATATATATTGTAAAGAAGATCACTGACTAAAGAATGATGAATACTATACTTACATCACCAAAACTGAATGGAAACATTGGATCTTCTTGGATTTTCAAAATTTCCTTCTTCTCATTTCGATANTATGCACCAGATGGTCCCCGTGGATCAACTTTTTTCTCATCCAATTCATCGAACCACGGATTAATACTACCCAAGAGAATTTTGACAATATACTGTCAAAACAAGATATATATTGTAAAGAAGATCACTGACTAAAGAATGATGAATACTATACTTACATCACCAAAACTGAATGGAAACATTGGATCTTCTTGGATTTTCAAAATTTCCTTCTTCTCATTTCGATAATCATCCACAACATCAATGTAACTAAGGGTACACGCACAACATTTTTTTTTTGATAAATTTGGCATAGAATTGATGGATTACTCACGGAATCTTTTCATCCCATTGGTTTAGGTAACCAATAGAATAGTCATCATCTGTGCAAGCAATAAATGTGACAGGAACACGTTCAATCGGATTTCGTTCTCTTAGAAGAACTTGTTCCAAAGTACGAATATCAGTGTGTCCTCGGTCATTGGTTGGTTCCTGAAAATGAAGTCAATGAATTAAGATGCTGATATTATTGTCCTTCTTGAGATGAATTATGAATGTTTCATTCTCTTAACTGGATGTCATAAGGATGTGTCTAATCGATTCAGTTAATTATACTAGTGTGTAGCTCTCTATCAGCGTCTTAAGGGCCCCCCCTCAGAAATTATCTCCTATACTGTGCATCCGATCTTGACGAAACTTTCCAGAAATGTTCGGCACAATGAGTTACTGGAATGAAAAAGATTTTTTGTCTCCAAGTCTTACGGTTTAGGAGTTTTCCAGAGATCAAGGTCCAAAAAGAACCCTGAACGGCGTCCCAAGATTTTTTAATATACTTCAAGTTGAAGAGTTCGGGTTTGTTTTATTTTAAACTAGACACCAAACTACATCGACTGACCGACGCCGATTTTTTAATTAAGCCTTTATTGGTTTTCCAGCCAACCAACAACCTGCGAAACCCGAAAAAGCCTTCCGGATTTTCTAAAAATCCTCAGTTTGACAAAAAACTAACACCTAATTCAAAATCGACGCCGGTCAGTCGATCTATTTTTTTTCCTCTTTTAAAGAAAAAAAGAATGAACTCTCTACGACAAACCGCTATTAAAAATCTTGGGGCGCACTTCAAGTGTAACTCTTATATAGCGAAAACGCTATGTTAAACGCTGTATGAAATAGCCAATTTTATGACTTCTAGGAAAATGTCTGTAACTTTTCGATGCAAGGTCATACAGAGTTGTGCGAAGTCTTATTTTGATCAAAAACGTTTGCTCTACAAAGCTGTGTTTTCAGAAAAATTTTAATTGCATAAGTATCCAGGAAAAAACCATTATTTGAAGATCCATTTTTTCGAGGCTCTTAGAAAACTTGCTGGAAAAACCACTTTTGTAACCAAAAGCAATACAGATTCTGGAAGTAGACACTTCAGGCTATTTTTTCATGTACGTATCTCAAAACGGATTTTTTGACCGAAAATCACCATTTCTGAGGGGGGGGGTGGGGGCCCTTAACAGCAATTAGATGTTTTTTTGATCAACAGCCATCTCAGAATCCAATGTGCACATTAAAAATGAACTTAAACTTTAGTATCTTCTTAAACTATTTTTCAGTAAACAGATATTAACTCAGTGCAGAGAACGCTACAATTTATGCAGAAGAAACAGCAATGTCGGATACATTAAGGACTATCAAAATTTAAAATTAACATCTAAAACCCCACGGTGTTCTAAAGATGAACATCTTGTTAGTCTTCTATTAGATGCGATATGTTACATGTTCAGAGTTTACCATAATCACAAAAGATAAAGCGGCTCCCTCAACTGCAGGCTATATCCTTGACTAACTTCTCAGCATAAACAAGAACAAATATCGTCTCCCTGAACAAATTTTATCAGGTGACGCTCTCGCACATTTCGGACATCTCATCAACGAGATATTATTGAAAGGAGGGGTCCGGTTTTCCACTGCTTTCGGCCCATGATCAGATTTTGTAGAGAAAACGATTTTACACATTTAGAAGTGCATATGTGTCATTATAACCTTATGGCAACTTTTTAAATTAACTTTTCTGAGGAGGTACATAAAGCATATCGGTTCTTAACAAAAACGATGGAATCAATTTATGGAAGGCCTCATAGCAGCAAAACTAAAGGAAAAACAAGAAGATACGCCCTGAGGGCCTTCTGTAAATTGAATGCTGGTCGATGAGAAAATGGCGTAAAGAGTGTGCAGACTCTCATTTCCTTCAGAAATGCTTGTTCTACACGATCGACTTATTCGAAAAGAATTTCTGGGTTGAACTTTCGGACTTGGTTTTCTAAAATCTGGATTTTCCAGAGACCTTGATTTCAGGAGTTTTGATGGAACCTTTGTGTACGTCTCCTGAGATCGGAAATTCTTTCAGCTGTTCAAATCTTCTCTCAAATTTATTCTAGCTATTCTGGTCGACGAAAAAAATGCAAATAAAGGCGGTGAATAATTTTCGGACCCACTATAGGATTAAGCGGCGAAGTATTTAATACACAAAAACCGGTGCTAAGCTTCGTTAAGTTTTCTATTAATACATGTTGTAGAGCTTTTCAAGACGAATCAAATAATGCATGAATGATTAGAGATTCTCTTTAGTTTCATAGAGAAAAGTAATCAAGAGTTCTCTTGGCATAGTCGCGACCTATGTAGAAGTCTAGTATTAAACTCATAAAATCTGCTGCCAGGCTTCGTTAAGTTTTCTATTAACAGATATTGTAGAGCTTTTCAAGAGCTATTTTTCTATACTAAACACTGGTTGCATCCTCTCTTGTTTATGGGCTAAAATGGGGAAAAATGATCGCTGAAGAATGTTCACCACATATGGGATGTTCGAAAATAAACCATTTCTCCTTAAATAGACAGTGTGTGTCCATGTACTGATTTGTTCAGTTTTTCATTGGCTATTTTTCTATACCAAGCTTTACCGTAACTTCATATTAGATTTTGGACAGAATCGTTTTTGTTAAGCACCGATATGCTTTATGTACCTTCTCAGAAAAGTTAATTTAAAAAGTCGCCATGAGGTTATAATAATACATATGTACTTCAAAATGTGTAAAATCACTTTCTCTACAAAATCTGATCAAAATTAAGTCGAGAAAGCAGTAGCAAACCAGGTCCCTCCTTTTTTCACCTTTACATGAACAGGAGCTTTTAAATATACATCATTTATCTGAACATAGTATTCTTTTTGACGCACGGTTTATTGTTTTAATGTACAATCTGTAGTCTCGTTATCTTATACAAAATCCTAAGTTAGATCTCTTTTTTGAACGAATAGACGTTCGCGCGAACGTCGTGTCACGAGCACAAACTGGCGAACTGCTGAATCGATGTGATACAGTCTTATAATGAACAGTCAAAAGAATGAAACATTCATACCACACCACAAGAAGAACTTGATTACATGAGTGAAACTTAATCTGAATGATCAGTGATCACTCATGCAAAATATAATAATGTTGCTGTCTATAAGAATAACGAAGGTGCATTTAAGCAGCATCGAGCGTACGTACTCCATCAGTCGCAATTAATATTAACAGTTTTCGTTCTTGTATTTCGACCCGTTTCTCTTCTAAAACTTCTCTTAATACTCGAACAATTGGCGTCAGTCCTAAAATCAGCTATTTTGCATAAAACATTTTTTTTCTCAAGCTGAATTTTGCGTAGAAATACCTGCGGGTGGGGTAGCAAATGCCGGAGTAAGTTCCGATGAATCTTTCACATGTAACATTCTTCCTCGATTTAAAAAATATATATCAACACCATCTGGATCCAGCACTGATGCAATATCAACAACAAGAGATTTGTTTAATTATATTTTGACTATATGAATGATACTTGTGTTTCGTTATTATCACCAATTTTCTGTTAATTTTATCATATTTTGTTCGACAACTAGCGTTCTCATTTTTGACATATTTTATGTATCATCGATTTGAAACAGTTTGCTTGAGTTCATCCCATCTTGTTGGTTTTCTATCCAAAGGAGATGGAATATCACCTAAATCATATCATAGATCTGTTATCGTAACAGATTTTCATAGCTACGTTTCTGTCTTCCATCCAGTATTTGATCTTTGCATATTAGAAAAATTCTGAATTATACCATACCGTACGGTAAAGCCTTACCAAGCGGAGTATTCATTGATCCTGAATCGTCCACAATAAAAACAATTTCGAATCCTTCAAGATCCCTTAAACATGTGGCATAATCATCATTGATCTCGTAACGATTGACAAGCTCTTTAAAACGGCGCATTCGTGTATTCGATGGTGTTGTATAACTTTGGCGCTGTTGTTGTTGGTACTGCAGAGAATTAAAACTAGGGTTTGTAAGTTTCGTCTCTTGATAAGATGAGCGTGTCGAAGGTGTTGAAAAACTATGCTGTCCACCTGAAGCCATCTAGCACTTTCATGTAATAACAAAGGATATATCAAAAAAGAACAAGAACTTATTGATAGCGTTTATATTAATTTAATTCTTTTCAAGTAACTTTCAGACATTATATTATATCGTTTTTTGCATTACAATGAGTGATTTACTGATTACTATAACGTGGAAAAAGCCAAGTTGTACAAGGGGAAGTACAATTTTTAATCAAAACAGCTTTTTATTTAAAATATTTGTTCTGTTCTAACTCATACAGATCGAAGAAATATAAAAACTGGAAGAGAAAAAAATCATCGTCTGATAGAAAAAATAAGAATAGAGAAAACAAGAAGCAAAAAAGCATTATGCAATTCTACATACATATGTATATTTATTTTATGTCCTTGACTGTAAAAATGAACTATGGTTATGATGAAAAGTTTAAAACAAACTTTGACTAGATTATGCCATGCACAAAAAGATAGAAGTAGAAAGTGAGTTTGAACAATGGAAAAAATATGACTTAAAGAGCATTGACAAAGAACATTCTTTCAAGTTTTCAATAGTTCAATAGTTCTTTATCGTTATCAAATTAATTAGCTTATGAAGTTGATGACATACGATTGTTTTATATCATCTAGCCGTGTTTATACTTTTAACATAATCTATTCTTCATTATCGACTTCGTCGTTCAATGCTATATTCAGTTTGTGATTAAGCAAAGATACGTTAGTCAAAAAATGTATTACAAAGACCGATAACGGTTCTTTTACAGAATTCTGAACTGATATTTTTCAATTTGTGCAGTGAAGAATTTTTCCTCATCTGATAATTTTTCCATTTTGTGATGAATACAAAGTATTTCTATTGAATTATATACCATTTGACAAAGAATTAAATACCCTCATCGAATATATATAAAACATTACTATCAAACGGGTTAATGAAAATATCTAAGCGAAATACTTTGCTTCAGGGAAAAATCAGATCGATCAGAAATAATGTTAGTTAAAATTTGAAATACTGAGAAAGTTTTCTCACTCCGAGTATAGATCCTTTCTCCACTTTTCAGAATATGCATAATTAATTAGAAACGTAACATGCGAAAGAGAAGAAAATGGCTGAGAAAGACGTACGACAAAGAAAAAATGTTTCGTTCTCACATAATTTTATGTTTTCACTGACATTTTCAATGTTTTTATACATCAAGCGCCGAAAAACTTTCTTATTATTTCTATGCTGTCCGTGTATGCCTATGACGCATATTTGAAATTCGACGTTTCTATCACTATGAAAAGCTTCAAAATTCCGAGGAATATCAATAATGCAGGAGACATCGGATCTATCCCCCGTATAAGATGTGATAAATCGAAAACAGATACTATTCGCAACTGCCTCTTCAGCCTTTTTCTATATTCGTATGAGGAAAAAATATCACTCCTAGGAGGTTTAGCGTGGAACTATTTTTGTGTTATTTCAACGTGAGAATTTTTGTTTTGTATATATACAAACAGCATCCACGTTCTGTATTTAATGTGTGTAGAAGTGGATATGTACGTGCTTATTTTAAATAAGACACAAAAATAACAGTGTCCGTTACACAAGGGACATTTCTTATTTTCTTCATCTGGTGTGCAGAGATTTTTATACTCTGATTTTCTACTTTGTGTAGGCATGCACCGGTTTCGGTTAACCGAAACCGATCATAACCGAAACCGAACATAATAGAAACTGATCAAGACGGTCTTGCTTGACAAGGCCGGCTTTGTAAAAACTAAATTTTATTTTCTTGGTATTTTTTTCAGCCAAGTGAAGAAGGAAAATTAAATATTTTAACAAGGAATTCAGTCGGTTTAGATATATGCGTAAGAAAGCATAGAAAAGAAAGGAAAAGAAAAGAGTAGAAAAGAACAAAAGATGAACAAAATGAAGTATATTTTGATCAGCTGGTAACAGAAACGTCTAACAATATAGTGATGTCAGAAATAAAGTACTACGTTTTCGTTTAACAAAACCAAAAATATATCAGACAACAAACAGATAGTACAAGGTTAGAAAAGAATGATAGTCTGCTGCTGTTATAATGATATTGCGTTAATCCAACCTGAGTTATATGACCTCTTCCAAAAGCAACGTTGAGACTACGTCTTCTTCACTCGTTTCTGTTCATTATGATCGGTTTCGGTTCTGTTCGGTTTCGGTTATTCGGTTAAAAACCGAAACCGGTGCATGCCTAACTTTGTGCGAGAGTGGGAAATATAAACCTGTTTCTCGCAAAGTTGAGATCTTTTTCTTTAATCACTCTGGCTACCTAAGGACTTCTACTGCGTGTAGCCTTGCTAAACATGTTGACTGCGCAAGGTCTCAAAATAAAAATGCACCAAAGTGAGAAATGCACCTAAAGGTTGAAGTCACAACTGTGAGTATCCTCGGTGTAAGATCGCTTTGCCGTTAGCGACTTTCAGGATGTAGCGACGATCAGTTCGGTCCTGTTTGATGCATAGAGGATTGGGTGTCAGCCATCCCACCTCATTCACAGGATGCTGGATTGGCTCTAGCAACGAACTGATATTAGCATCTAGTATTTACGGATACGCATCCTCTGAAGGTCCAAGCGTAAATGTTTCCTTCACATACGGTAAACGTTACCTTATTGGTAATAGTCACACGCCCAGGATGATGAAAACGAGATAAAAAATGGCGCGTTTATGATTTAATAAAGCACATGATGTTCTTGCTACTTTCAAGGAGTGTAGTGGAAAATTTGAAACAATTGCTCTTTTATTACATAACAGTCAACAAACAACAAGAAATGAATTAATTAAACTGAAGTATTCTAGTCTCATATAGAAATTTGCTCGTTATGTAATTACTGGTAAATTTGTTTGAATTACACAGTAATTTAAAATATATTAGATACCCCGGTAGCACGGATTGAATTAGCTATGACTAATATAAAAAATGTGGTTTTAGGATAAGCTAATTCGTAGTGACGTCAACCAGGTAAAAGAACGATTGTAACCTAGAAACTTATAACACAGATACAACTTCTTGAGCTATAGTGTATTTTGTTTTTTATATTCTTATGTGTTTACCTAGTCAGGGTTAGAATTATGCTAAGTATTTTCTGCACATATGACTGATATGAATGTCTTTTCCTATTATTTGTTATTAGTCGCCTATATAGTGACCGAATAAACTGTAGCAATGAAATGCCTATGATTATCGCTTACAAAAATGGATCATTAAATAAAAATTGTTTAGCCTTTTCGATGTAGAATTTGCATGAGTGTACATACATAAGAAGTTACCTTTATCAGTAAATACACACACCTTTTCGCTTAGTTCCATGTGGGCAGGTAAAAGTGAATATATCTCACTACGAAACGTGCAAAATATTAAAGAACGTATATTACCTCGTGGGACATTTTTCACACATTGGCAAAAATACCCAAATGTGTACTACGGAAAAATAGCGGTAAGGTCGTTGGCGGTAGTGTCGTTTGCCCGTCTTCACGGTAATGTCGTTTGCTTGGATGACGATGGTAATTGATGATGCACTCCAGTCTTGTGTGCGTCTGTGAACGTAAATCTCACACTAATTTTTGCAATTTTTATTAATGAAAAAGAGAAAGGAAAATCACGAGTACAGTGAGTGTTAAAGCGATTTCGTATTTCTTCGTCAGTAGCAAATAAGTAAGACACGCACGAGGAATTGTATCAAATGTAGTAAAAAGACTAGTAGAAAAATTCAATACTTAAAATGATGAATCATGCTTTCTTAAAATAGAGAAACGAAAAATAAGAGGCACTAAAAAATAGGGACTAGTGGTAGTGTATACAATAGTCATAAGCCAGTAAATGCAACTGAACAAGACAAAACTACACACAGAGTGATAAAAGTACAAACTGAAGATTGAATGTTGTCGAGATGAAAATATGTAAATACAAAAGACGAATAAATGACTGTACTTCTATGTGATACAGATATTTGATATGTATATATATTTGGTATATATATACTTCTACGTAGGATAAGGGAAGCCGTCAAAATTCGCATCGGTGAATTTATTCACCCACCGGTAATTTGATTGGAAACAAAATTAAGAACAGTATTATTCAATATGCCTGAGAAAAAGAATATGGAACTATCGCATAACAGAATGACGATGTATGTATATATTCTTTTCTGTACTATACTTGACTTGATGTTTTTTTTCTTTCTATGCACACTATAGAGAGAGATATAAAGCAACAAATAGAGAAAAGAACAA